GCATTGCAAGATTGACAGCTACAAGTATGACTCCCAAAGGCAGAGGCATGATGGGACTTGTAGTTTGGCAACAGCTGGAGGGCCACCAGTTTGACACCCTGTGTTAATGATAACAAGACAACAAGCAGTAAAATAGATCCCCTGCAGCCAGAATCAAAAGACCCCCCCATAGACAATGGACCCTGGCAACAACATATCACGACAGAAACAATAGACCCCCAACAGCAACAACAGATCCCCCAGCAGCCAGGATCAAAAGACTATCCAGCAGCATGCAACAATAGACCCCCTACCTCAAAAGTAGATACCTTCCAGCAACAATAGATACCCCAACAGCAACAACAGACCTCCCCAGCAACAACAGACTGCCATACAAAAATAGATTCTCTCCAGTAACAATAGATCTCCCAATAGCCTGCATCAACTGACCTTCCAACACACCCCAGACCCCTTGCCATTACATACATTCAGTTCTGGAGATTCCAGAACTGTGTTCCCCTGCATTCCCACTGAAAAAAAACCCTGTTTATATCTCTCTAAAATATTACAGCTTCACAAAAAAAAACGAATTTCTTCATGACTTAGAACAGCATACTCATGATGCTGATTGCTTTGATTCAGGATTATTTATAAGCGCTTGACCCACTACATGGTTGCCCCAGTACTTCCAGGATCTGGTGTAATTGCATGTGATTTAAACATACTAACAAGCCTATTTTGTAAAAGGAAAAAAAAAGAAAAACATTTTAGCAAGACAATGACTTTCATAAGACCTCCTAAATTTACGAATGGGCTCTAGATGGCCTGAAGTGGCATAATCGTACTTTCAGCCTCTCGTGCTCTATCACAGACAATTTAGCTCTCCTTTTACAAAATCACAATTACCTCTCTTTATATGGGATCATTAATGGTGAAAAGAAGATACTTGGAAAAAAAAAAACGCTTCAAAACATGCGTTCCTTTTGCTCAATGGAAGGATTTGGCAGGAAGACATGAATCCGAGATAACGACTAATTATCTATGTCACATAATGGTATGTTGAAAGCCATGCCATCATTTTCTAAAATTTTCTGGCACTCAAGCTAAAGATAAAATCCAATCAAAATGCAAAGCTCAGCCCTGAAATGCATACAGAATATACATACTGATTCAGCTTTCCATACAGGCATACCCCACTGCTAAAAATCGCTGCAATGTCAATTATTCCTGATGGTCTGGGAACACCAGTTCCTGAAAACATACATAAATATAGAGGCCAGGCATTCTCAGCACCACCCTTTGGGGTAGATTTACTAAAGGGGACTAGACTGCACTTTGTAGGTGCAGTTTCTCCAAAGCTTAGTAAATGAGATGAAGCTTCACTTTGCAAAGAATACCCAATTTACAGGCAAGAAAAATAAAAAAAACAGCATTTTTGCTTGCACACGATTGAATAAAGGAAGTCAGCAGAGTTTTCCCTCATTTACTAAGCTCTGGAACACAGTTTACCATTTAACCCCCTTTATCTCTCAGAGATAGAAAAAGAAAGAAAAATGTCATCCTGGAGCTCATGTTTGAGTTTTCTGAATCATTGCTGTATAGGAACTTAGTAAATAGCTGTATAAAAAGCTGTAAATAAAGGGATTGTAAAATGGTTTTGCAATTATTTATTTATTTATTATGTTCACACAAAAAAAAAATTATACTCTATCTAAAATATTTTTCCTTTTTTAATATGATAAATATAAAATATTACATATGAATATTCTGTATTTTCATTTATAGCCAGATGTATATTCTTCATATGCTTCTCAACTTGCAATTCACAATTATTCTACAAGGCCTGTTGTGTACAGATCTCAATAGCTCAACCTCAAAAAATATACACTAGTGGATAACTCTTCTCTCCCATATATATATATATATATATATATCAAATATATATATACACACACACACACACTATATTGCCAAAAGTATTGGGGCACCTGCCTTTACACGCACATAAACTTTAATGGCATCCCAGTCTTAGTTCGTAGAGTGGTAACATTTTACGTGGCCTACCACTTGGTGGCTGAGTTGCTGTTGTTCCCAGTTGCTTCCACTTTGTTATAATACCACTAACAGTTGACCGTGGAATATTTAGTAGCCAGGAAATGTCATGGAAGGACTTGGTGGCAACCTATCACAGTACCATGCTTGAATTCAATGAGAGAGACCCATTCTTTCTTGATTTCATACACCTGTGGCCATGAAGTTGATTGGAACACCTGAATCCAATGATTTGGAGGGGTGTCATAATACTTTTGGCAATATAGTATATATATATATATATATATATATATATATATATATATATATATATATATATATAAAATATCAGTTTAAAAAATAGAAAAAACTAGGGACAGTTTCAAGCTTTGATGAATGTTTCCCTTGATATTTGTTGCTGGAACTGCACCAGCTTTAATAACAAGATTAGCTCGACCACACAATGGAGTTGATTTGCTAAAGGCAAATTCACTTTGGCCTTTTCTGTAGAGAATGTAAATGTGATAAAGCTTCACTTTGTAAAGATGCAAGGAAAATTAAGAAAAAAAAAAATTTGCTTGCACAAGATTGGATGATGGAAATCAGCAGAGCTTTACCACACTGGAGAAAACTGATGTAATTGCACTTGTAGAGTGCACAGTCTATTTGCCTTTATTATATGAACCCCCAATGCCTCATTGTGCATTTTTTACCTTTACGGTGTATGTAAAAAATACATTTAAGTAGGCTGAGACTCAGGCACCCTTATCTTACAGTCCAGTATTTTTTGAACTTCAGTAGAATATATTTTCTCAATTTGGGTTTACATCTACTTTATATCCTTTTTATCTGTCATCATAAAATTTTCAGAATAATTTTATGGATAAATGTAATAGAAAAACCAATACACTGACCTTTCACTGATATCCCTGGAACTGGCATTTGTTCAAATCTGCTGATCTACTGTGTTTTCTTTCCTTTAACATTTTTACTTAAAGTGGTTGTAAATCTCAGACATGAAATATGAACAACGCCCATATTTCTATAGTGTTTACTTGCCTCTCTCCAAAGCAATAAGTGCCATTTCTCTCTCCTGCTTTGTTCCTTTGCTATCAGCATGAATCACTTCTGACAAAGTTTTCTGACACCAAGACAAAAATGGTGACAGGGGAGGGATTTCCAGTACACAGTCTGTGATTGACAGTCTCAGCTCCATTCCTGTGTGTGTTGTGTGAAGTGGGGGGGGGGGGGCATCCCTTCCCTCCAGTCAGCATTCAGAGCTCTTGTACAGTGTGTAACTGGAGAAAAATGCAGAAAACATTTCCTGACACCAAAAGAAAAATGGTGTCAGGGGAGGGATTTCCAGTACACAGTCTGTGATTGACTGTCTCAGCTCCATTCCTGTGTGTTGTGTGAAGGGGAGGGGCGTCCCTTCCCTCCAGTCAGCTCTCAGAGCTCTTGTACAGTGTGTAACTGCAGAAAAATGCAGAAAAAGTTTCCTGACACCAAGAGAAAAATGGTGTCAGGGGAGGGATTTCCAGTACACAGTCTGTGATTGACTGTCTCAGCTCCGTTCCTGTGGGTTGTGTGAAGGGGGGGGATGTCCCTTCCCTCCAGTCAGCTCTCAGAGCTCTTGTACAGTGTGTAACTGTAGATCCCTGCCCCCTGCTTCTTGAGTCTGTGAAAAATCCTTTTCTTCTCTGAGTTTTGCAAGGATTTTCAGGACAAATTACTGCAGATAAACAGGTGCAAACAGGTGCATAAAATTCACTGGGTACAGGCAAGGGTTTACAAGCATTTTAAATGTAACATCCTCACTGTAACTACTGGAGTAAGCTTTGGCAATCCCACACTAGTTACTATAGCTCAGCATTAATTTCTATGGGATTTCATTGAGTAAAGATTTTGATTATTATTATTTTATTTTTACAGGTATTTATATAGCAACGACAATCTATGCAGCACTTTACATATTGTACATTCACATCAGTCCTTGCACCCAAGGAGCTTACAGTCGAAGGTTCCTGTCTCAGATGCATATCTACTCAAACTGGGGTCTATTTAATCTGGGGACAATTAACTTTTGAGCATGGCTTTAGAGTCTGTGATGAAACCAGAGTATGGGGAGGATATCCGTGCAAGCACAGGGAGAACATGGAAACTCCATGCAAGTAGTATCCCGATTGGGATTTGAGCCAATGACCCCAGTGCTGCAGTTAGATTACTTATTAATTGCAATTCCTCCTTGCTTTACAAAATCTCCCCACCTAGCCCTACCATGACACAGTGACTGACTAGTCACAACAGTTGAAAAGGCTATAGGCCTAATAAAATTGTGCAACGTTGTTTATAGTCACAGATGTCATATGTGTCTATTTCATTGGGGTTTATTTACTAAAGCAAAGAGACTTTTGACTTTGTAAGAGAATTGTCACTTTGCTTAGTGAATGAGATGAAGTTGTGCTGGCTTTTTCTCATCCAATCATGTGGTACGTGTGTGTGATACTCATATGTGTTTTTTTTTCTTGTATGAGATTGCAAAAGTGAATGTTCACCAAATTCACTAAGCTAAGGGAAAATTCCCTTGCAAAGTGCACAGCCTATTTGCCTTTGGTAATGAACAATGAACAGTGGAAAATGTATCATCAATTCTAGGGGCCAATTTTCCTCTGACCAATAATGTAAGGGGTTTCCTATACAAGGTACCGACAATTACTTGATACCATTGAATGGCCCCCACACTCGCCTGACCTGTCCATCAAACACCACCAGGTTGCACCTCAAACTGTCCAGGAGCTCATTGATGCCCTGGTCCAGATCTGGGAGAAAATACCCCAGGACACCATCCATCGTCTCATTAGAAGTATACTCCCATCGTTGTCAGGCATGCATAGGGCAGCACAGTGGCTAAATGGTTAGCATTTCCGCCTGGCAGTACTAGGGTCGCTGGTTCACATCCCAACCATGGCACCACCTGCCTGGAGATTGTATGTTCTCCCTGTGCTTGCGTGGGTTTCTTCCCACACTCCAAAGACATGCTGGTAGGTTAATTGGCTTCTGTCTAAATTGGCCCTAGTATGTGTATGTATGAATGTAAATTAGGGACCAGGGGCGGACTGACCATTTGGAAACTCGGGCACTGCCCGAGGGCCAGGGGTCAGTAGGGGGCCCCATGAGATGCCCCTAGTACCGTTTTCATTGGCTTTTTTGAGTTTGGGCAAGGACACAGGGGCCCCATGATCCCTTATTGCCCGAGGGCCCCATGAGTTGACAGTCCGCCCCTGTTAGGGACCTTGTACGCCCCTTGAGGGTTAGGGACTGATGTGAATGTACAATAATGTGAATGTAAAGCACTGCGTAAATTGACAGCATTATATAAGTATCCGTAATAAATAATATAATAATAATAAATAATTCACAGAATGCTCACAGTGTAGCACTATGGTGGTGAATCACACAGCCATTTGCAGTCGAGTATATTCTGACATTTTCTACCTTGCACTCTCCTGAGTCGCAGACCAGTTGGCTCAGTCTTTACAGAGTAGTAGAAGAAATAACACATGTGTGCGCCGCACTAGTATCAAATATTGTGTAAACATTTGCAAACGTGTGAGTGAAACATTAGCTCTGTTACAACAGGATTATGGCCAACATTCCATGAAGAAATCAAGTGTTTTTGAATGGCATAGGTGGTTTAAGGAGGATCAAGAACATGTCCAGGACACAAGAAATGTGCAGCCAAAAATGCAAAGGATGGAGGCAAATGTAGAAAATGAAAAGGTTACAGGACTTTTTTGGAGAGAAAAAAAATGGACCTCTGGCCTGACAAGTGTATTCTCCACCATGACAATGCTCCTGCATATGATGTGTTATGTGCTTGCAAGTTCCTGGCCCAGGAATCCATTCCAAAACTTGACCAACCACCTTATTCCCCTGACTTAACACCCTGCAACCTTTGGCTGTTTCCAAAATTTAAAAATGCCTTCACAGGACACAGATTTGATGCCATTCTGGACATTCAGTGAATTGTGAAAAAAATACTGCACAGCGTCCTGGAAAACAAGTTCCAGGACACAAGAAATGTGCAGCCAAAAATGCAAAGGATGGAGGCAAATGTAGAAAATGAAAAGGTTACAGGACTTTTTTGGAGAGAAAAAAAACGGACCACTGGCCTGACAAATGTATTCTCCACCATGACAATGCTCCTGCATATGATGTGTTAAGTGCTTGCAAGTTCCTGGCCCAGGAATCCATTCCGAAACTTGACCAACCACCTTATTCCCCTGACTTAACACCCTGCAACTTTTGGCTGTTTCCAAAATTTAAAAATGCCTTCATAGGACACAGATTTGATGCCATTCTGGACATTCAGTGAACTGTGACAAAAATACTGCACAGATTCCTGGAAAACGAGTTCCAGGGCACAAGAAATGTGCAGCCAAAAATGCAAAGGATGGAGGCAAATGTAGAAAATGAAAAGGTTACAGGACTTTTTTGGAGAGAAAAAAAATGGACCTCTGGCCTGACAAGTGTATTCTCCACCATGACAATGCTCCTGCATATGATGTGTTAAGTGCTTGCACGTTCCTGGCCCAGGAATCCATTCCGAAACTTGACCAACCACCTTATTCCCCTGACTTAACACCCTGCAACTTTTGGCTGTTTCCAAAATTTAAAAATGCCTTCATAGGACACAGATTTGATGCCATTCTGGACATTCAGTGAATTGTGACAAATATACTGCACAGAGTCCTGGAAAACGAGTTCCAGGAATTTTGCGTCTCGAAAAGTGCATTTCTTCCCAAGGGGACTACTTTGATGGTGACAACAGCCGCTAGTGTATAGGTAAGCAAACATTATTTTTTTTTACAGTCCATTCTGGGAATTAAATTGTCACACATTGATCACTGACCACTTAGGGTACACCAAAATATTACTGCTTTTTCTTTTTTTTTTTAATGTTCATTTTATAATTACTACTGAAATAATTTTGTTTTACAGAACAGGGATATTAAAACAAATGATTAACAATGTTAGCCTATCTGCCTTTAGTAAACCAACCCCAATGCTTTACAGATCTAAGGTAAGCTTCTGTAATGCAGTCCTTTGAATGTATGTCTTCCCTGCCGATGTAAAAAACAGAGAAACAATAAGACACAAGCCTACCTCTTACATATTTCTCTTCTTCTCTCCAGATTTTGATCAATTAAATCAAGGTTATCCCTGCACTCAGGAGACGCAGCAAGTTTTAATGAAACCACAAGAACAGCCTGCAGTTACTAGCACTTTCCAGCAAACTCTCAGAAGAGGCATTTCGTGAAGCTATGGCTCAGCTAATCAGAACCCTCCCCAGTTGCTTAAATAATGTCTAGTAATTTCACTCCTGTATTCCCAAAGTAGAAGATGTCACATTGCAACACTTGGCCTTTTCTTAATTGCGGAGCCGTTATACGCCGTGCAACAATGGCTCTGGGTCTACGAGGACCATTAACAGTCCTGGATTTAGGGATCATTCAGCGGTGTTTGAAGGAGACTATCTGTAAATCCTGAACTGTTACTGATCCTTGAGGACCTGTTAAAGAGAGGGGCAGGATTGGAAATGACTTTGTGTGTATTAATGCTCATTTATTTAAAGGGGAGGGTGTAGACGCAATTGCCTCGAAGGTGATATTAGAGAAAAAAAAAAAAAGTTGAGCAGAAGATCTCCGTATTACAGGTTTCTTCAACTATACTTGGAGAATAACGCTATAAAGCATTGCTATCACTGAGGATAATTTCCAAGCAATTCAAAGACGAATTCCAGATACAGATATTTTTACATAGAGACATTGGCCCAGTTTGGATCATTTTAACTATGTATGGTATTTACCATACTTCAGTGGTCTCCAGTAGACTCTGGGTCCTGTGCCCTACTACATTGTAAAGGCAGGAGATTGTCCGCTTCCATCAAGAGAATGCTTTGCATTTTCTCAATCAATGCATAGCATTTTCTGATTGGACGAGGTGGGCAGCATGACATCACCGTCCCACCTCTCCAACTCATCCAGTCAGAGAATGCTTTGCATTCATTGAGTAATGCAAAGCATTCTCTGAATGGTACTTGGGTCGAGCAGCTGACCGCCTGTATTCATAGGCATGGGTCATGGAAGCTAGTTGAGATCATTGGAGTAGCAGTGTTTACTCCAGGGATTTTCAGCTTCCAGGGGAAACATCCATAGTATATGCATATATGTGGCGCTAACCCTGCGTGAGCCGCTGACATTGTTGGTCTTCGGTTTTTTCCTTGGCTCTGATAAATGCCTCAGCACCATTGACACCTCAGGGTACACACTTTAGCAGATGTAGGCTAGTAGTTTCTCAATACCTTAGGGTCACCCTGAAATTAGACTCAGGACTTTGTTGCAAATAACATATATTTAGTGTATTTTCTAGTAATTGTCAGCTAAAACAGCGTATAACATTGAAAAATATAACAGTATATGCAATACACTGAGTTTCTTCAGATATTTAGGATACTGAAGTATGCTTAAATCTGACCAGCATACACTATTGTTCCGCTCACTAAATGAGCATCAAAAAACAACCAAGATAGGTATCAACACAGCTAGCAGCTAAGTTTCCAATGTACTCTTGTGATGATGTACAGTCAAAATTAGTCTTCTGCCGGCTATGTTGGGGCCCTTGAAGACATTGGCGTGCTTATTGGTGTTGGATAGTCCTGCACCCAGTGAGAAAGTCTTAAAAAACAATGAGCTCTTCAGGACAGTGAAGTGGGAACAGTCAGATAAGGAGGTAATGTTTTGTGATATAGGCCATGTTTGAATAGAACTATTAGTGCTTATTAGTGGGCTGGTAAAAAATTGGGAAAGGAAAAAGTTAAACAATCTTCATAAAGAATCTGCACAGTGTCAGCATATAAGGCAATAATGGGTCAATGACCCGCTCTCCAGCTCCTTCTGATCTTGCCTCACCTTGTAATGATAAGATGTTGTGGCTGCAGTTTGTGGTGTTATGGCTGTTCAATTCCTCTATGGTTATTTAAAGCTGCAGCTAGCCTGTCCCTATGAGTCAAGAGGACAGGAGAGCTTCCTTTTGGAGCCGTACAATGCCCAATGCATGCCATCATCCCCTCTATGTTACATCACAAATGTTGGAGTGATAATATGATGAAACACTGCATGAATGAATGATCTGTTTGTCTGTGAATGTACTGCATGTTTGTGTCTGTATCAGATCGAATTTCTGTTTAGCTCCCACCTATATCAGCACAGGAAGTGTCAGTTCCAGGGGCGGACTGACCATTTGGAAACTCGGGCACTGCCCCAGGGCCCGGGGTCAGTAGGGGGCCCCATGAGATGCCCCTGGTACCTTTTTCATAGGCTTTTTTGAGTTTGGGCAAGGACACAGGGGCCGCATGATCCCCTATTGCCCGGGGGCCCCATGAGTGGTCAGTTCTTAGACTACAGACAGAGGTCAGGCATTACCTGTGCAGTGTCATGTCACATGCATCATGTCTCTACACAAACAAACGTCTGACACAGAAATGTGAAGATTTACTCTAATATATGTAGTGAGTAGAGTGTAACAGATGACACCATGAAACTACATGATCAATGTACATCTTATGCAGATGAAAAAAAAACACAGGCGCAGGTAGAAAGGTTTACCATGCTTTTAAGGGTGAGTCGTTGACCATCAGTTTTTTTCGGGTAGTAAATGTGCTGAATTTGTTTGTGTAAAAGATTCTGGAACCAGAATTTTTTTGTGCCAAGAATTCTGGATTCCTCCAGCACCCAACACAAGCATGCCCAGTTTTCAGAAGCCAAATAACTATTGTAGCAACCTCAGGATTGCACTCGATGTCAAACACTTCCTCATTTACTTGTGCAGTAGACTACAGACCTCTAGTTGCTTTCAAATGCCTCCCAAACATTTGTTGTCATAAGAGGAAAACATCTCTAATAATGATTATTTAATGTGATAGTTTACCTGACATTTAGTAGTTTACATAATACAGAAAAATGAGGCAGGGAAGGTATAAGTCTCTCTTGATATTTAAAGTGATGAATAAATATGATAAAATCGATCTACCAAGTTTGAGATATGACCTGGACTGAACTGATTCACACTTGGCAGAGATTCACAAATATCACCCAATCCTCCACTTTACTCTTGCTAAAAATAAAACTTTAGAAAAGGAACAAAATGAATAAGCAGCAAATGCAGATCTGGCTCATGGGATCAAGGAGGTGGACAAGGTGAATTACCTGCAGAGTGGGTTTTAAGAAACTTTTCCTTAGTGGAGCAAAAAAGGCTGCCAAATGCTTGTAAGGTGTTAGCTCCTGAAGTTTTGCGAGGTGATCAAATCTCAGTTGAGATTCCATCCATCCATGGGCAGGTTGATTGTACTGAAGTCAATCCATCAATCCAACCAGCCTTTCAGATTTTTTGCATGCAATCAGGAAGGCTCCTTGCCAACAGAACACAATAGAGCTGCAGGAGGCATTCCCCCATCAACACTGACTATGCTAATGGGGGAATCAAGCAATTTTCCTTCCTTCCACCCGTGGTGGAAGGTGGAAAAGAAAGAAAATGGTATCATTGTGTATCATTGTGCCCAATTGTGACTGCACAAAAAGTTCTCAGCTTCCTGATTGCTGGGCAATCACTGGTATGAAACCTCACACAGACTCATTCCAGTAATTTCCCAGCAACAAGGAGGCAGAAAACCTATCATGTAACATTGATAACTCTGTCTAGTTCTGGAGACCTCATTTACAAAAAGCTATGGATAGTACAGAATGAGCCCAAAGATGAGCCACAACAATTGTGAAAGATTTGAGGAAAAACACATATCAGGAGAGACTTCTGGAAGTTACTATGTACAGTCTGGAGGAAAGAAGGGAAAGGGGAGACTTGACTGAAACCTTTAAATATATTTGGGGGTGAATAATGTTCAGGAGGGCAGTATTTACAATATGAAGCCAAGATCAAGAACATCAGGACATGACCTCAAACTAACAGGAGGAAAAGTTCAAAACTAATCTTAAAGCATTATTTTATTGAAAGAGTAGATGATGCTTGGAATAGAATAGTGGCGGAGAGTCAGTCAACAGTAAATGAATTCATATATGCTTACTATAAAATAGACCTATAGTCACACAAAGAAGTAAAAAAAAAAAAAACATGGGGCTTGATGGACCACTTGGTCTTTTTTTCTGCTGTCACTATTCTATGTTGCTATAAACTGAGGATATGGCTTATTAGCCATAAAACACTTTTTTTATGTTTGCTACTAATCTTAATCATGCAAGTGCCAACCTCTCCCTAACCATGACTACACAAAACCTCTGGCTCCTTGGCCATACCAGTGTTTGGCAGTGTTTTTGGCTCTACCACTAACACATTTATTATACCATCCTGATGTCCCCCATGAGGACCTAGGATTGGGTTTCCCAAGGCATAGAAGGCATTCCCTGTGTGGAGACAAGGGTATTCTACACATGTAATTTCAAAAGGTTACAATTACCATTACACTTAATCATTTGTAGCCTTTCCAAATGCAAGTTATATGTGTTCTATTTTATCCAGAACCATACAACAATTAGCACTGGCAACTAGACCATCAGTGCTCCTCCCCCTCCCCTTATTTCTTTTCTTCAGTGGATACTTTGGAAAATCCTTTTTTTCCTTGGTACACCTTTGAGAACTACCACCCTACAGACACTTAAGAATCTTGCCAATTTGTCTTAGTGACTTTTTAAATTCTAAAGGAAAGCACAACTCTGGTAAAAAAAAGTTAAGAAACAAAACCTGTGTCTGGTTTTTACTGCAGTCTGTGATTCTATTGGAGTGATTTTACATCACTTCCTGTCCTAATAGGAAATTATGAGACCCCCTCTCCAGAGGGAACACAGACAGCAACATAATACTTGGGCATTTTTGTAGCCTAATTACGATAACACCTACATTATATTTGGTACATGTTCTCATTTACATAGCAAAAAAAAAACAATATTTAAAAATATTTCCCTTTTTTTTACCAACATAGATTAAATCCTACCTATCGTTCTCTTTCTATGCAATGTAAGAAAGGGGCTGAGGTGTCAGTGTTTACCCTGGTGCACACAACTGCAGTTGCAGTTGAAAAGTTCACATATGGCGGGTGTTACTACCTACAGAATACAATAGGGAGATCATTTTTGCTGCATCATGATGCATCGTGACCACCAGGGGTGGACTGACCATTTAGAAACTCAGGCACTGCCCGAGGGCCCTGGGTCAGTAGGGGGCCCATGAGATGCCCCTGGTACCTTTTTCATAGGCTTTTTTGAGTTTGGGCAAGGATACAGGGGCCCCATGATCCCCTATTGCCCGGGGGCCCCATGAGTTGTCAGTCCGCCCCTGGTGACCACCCCATGTGTACCCCTCTGGGGCAGGCGGGAAACGTTTAAAGATTACTTTTTTTAAAGTCTACTAAATACTGTATATATGTAAGAAGATAATCTGAAAGTAAAACTTTTTATTAAAGGTGTGCTAATGTTTGACATAGTTTATTGATAAGTTGTAATTATATACAGTATATTAAAGGTTTTATATTTGTCATTATGCTTGCTTATGGCTGGGTTTTTATCTTACTGATGAATTCTGTCCAATTAAAAAGAAGGGAAAACAGTATTCATTGAAAAAAATACAAGGCATTTTATAATTGGCGGCAGTGCCACCTCCTGTTGTCAGTATGCAGAAGGTAAGTCACCCACTACTATCACTGTAGTACATTTACTCTTGGTTTGATCTTTATTGCATACATCAATCCAGCTTGGAGACTTATGGGACCAGTTGGAAAGCTAACAATCACTGTAGTAGTTGATGCTACTTTCCTTCAGCACACTGACCATTCATAGAACTCCAAAAGCCTTCTGTATACATCTTTCTACTTTTCTAATACAGCACCCACCTAAAAACCCTGCATAGGGCCCAGGATTGGGACCCCCTGTGTCATTGAGAGCGATCTTTGCCATCCTTCATGGAGACAGGTTATTCTCCTCCAGCATTCATGGAAGGTTGCATGTATCTATCATTCTAGGGTTACCGCAACCTCAGCAGATGTAAGTTCTCTCTTCTTTCATATCTATGAAAAGCTTTAATGATCTTATTTTGATTCTCCCACTACATTATAACGGCTCTCCTGCCTCCCCCTCTTTTCTTTTCACTTCGAGTCACCCCATGGGTCTACAACCAGCCTTTTGTGCCTAAACCCCGCAGACCCTCTTGGCCCACCCAACCCAAATTCCCATACCTAGAGTTCAGCTTTAAATATTTATGAAACAAAAAATAATTTACAGCAAATATGTTAACGGAACAAAAGATGTTCAAAGAAATTATCTCCTGCATTATGTGCGGAGGTTCTTTAATTTGTTAGCAATAATACAGGAAGACTATGCAATCGTTGTCTGACTTGTATATCCTAAATCTGTTTTATTGCTTAGGTAATCTTCCCCTTATGGCTGCAAGGAATTTTCCTGTATCTAGGGAGCCAATGACCTGGTTAGCTAAGATTCCTAATATTAACAGCCAGAAAAAACATACCATCTCTCAAGCTCCCTCATATGATGCTGACTGCCTTTTGCAATTTGTTTCAATAGCTCATAAATCCTGCTGCGTTAGACACTGGAGGCATCGGGGCATTTAGGTACAGCTATACAAATGAGTGAAAAGATCCCTCACTGAGCTAGAACTCATAATTTCACTGTCTGTCACTGTCTTTTTTTTTCAAAAACTTTTATGAACACAAAAGTGCAGTAAGATCACAGTGTTTAATTAGAGTGCTTGAAATTGTTCATTTCCCGGGATATAATCAAGGCAATATTATTGTGAATGTAGGAAAATGAAAGAAAATACCACAGAAGTCATTAATGACTTATTAAAATTTAACATCAATATAAAACTACTTATTTATTCATAGATGTATTTTGCTGCAGCAGATTGACTCACCCAATAAGCGTTACCATTTCCGACCATTATTTCGAGAGTGACAAAAATTAGTTGAAGAAAACATGGCACCCGGAAGGTTGATTTTGTATGCATGTGAAAGATGACTTTTACGATATGGCATGAGGTATGGATTTTATGATGTGACATGAAGAGTGACTTCTATGATGTGACGTGAAGGGTGACTTCTATGATGTGACTTGAAGGGTGACTTCTATGATGTGACATGAACTATGACTTCTTTGATGTGACACAAAGGATGGCTTCTATGTTGTGATGTGAAGAATGACTTCCATTATGTGACACAAAGTAGGACTTCCCAGATGTGACATGGAGGATGACGTATAAGATGTGATGTGAACGGTGACTTCTATGATGTGACATAAAGAATGTGCTCTATTGTTCCAAGGGTAGCCACGGCATTCCATGTTTGAAGTAAATGCCCAGGTGCTCACCCACAAGGATGTGAAGGGTGACTTCTCTGATGTGACGTGAAGGGTGACTTCTATGATGTGACTTGAAGGGTGACTTCTATGATGTCACATGAACTATGACTTCTTTGATGTGACACAAAGGATGGCTTTTATGTTGTGATGTGAAGAATGACTTCCATTATGTGACACAAAGTAGGACTTCCAAGATGTGACATGGAGGATGACGTATAAGATGTGATGTGAACGGTGACTTCTATGATGTGATATAAAGAATGTGCTCTATAGTTCCAAGGGTAGCCACGGCATTCCATGTTTGAAGTAAATGCCCAGGTGCTCACCCACAAGGAAATCCATCTACAGTAAATCCAAAATTGGTTTGGAGGCATTCATGAGTCTTGCAGAAGAGGAAGATCAAAAACAGCAGTGTTTTCATTGCCAACATTTCAATAAAGCTCAGTCCATCTTTCTCAAGACATAAGAGGCTGTTAAGAAAGATGGACTGAGCTTCATCAAAAGGATGTCTTCTGTGATGCAATGCAAAGGATGACTTCTATGATGTGACATAACGGGTGACTTCTGTGTAGTTACACGAAGAATTAATTCTATGATGTGTTGCGAGGAATGACATCGATGATACAAAAAGGATGGCTTCTATGTATACAATGGTGACAGATGAAGGGTTTTTCATTTTTAAAAAAATGCTGATTTTATCCAGTAGTATCTCCCTTCCTGGAAGCCATGCTAATCAGTTGGTGCAATGTAGTAATCATGCTTGTGCAGGGGTCTTCCATTCTCAACAATAAAGTATCCAATGCCATTAAAGACTCATGTGTACTGATGCCACAATACAGGTTAAAGTGACACTGAACGATATCCTTATTCTCCAAAAATTTTATATACACTTCCACTATTTAATCTATTTTTCATGGAATTGTATCTTAGGCTAGGTCAGTGTTTCTCAACTCCAGTCCTCATGGACCCCCAACAGGTCATGTTTGCAGGATTTCCCTCAGATGAAACAGCTGTGGTAATTACTAAGGCAGTGAAACTGATCAAATCACCTGTGCAAAATAATGGAAATCCTGAAAACATGACCTGTTGGGGGGTCCATGAGGACTGGAGTTGAGAAACACCGGGCTAGGTTAACGCTTGCTGTTGAAAGGGTAGGGCCGGGTAAAACATGCATTTGAAATGTTTTTTTTTTTTTTACTTCGTCCTATCCAAGAAACACACCATTCTTCTGAAACCTTGCCAGATGTAAGCTATTCTGTTTTTCTCTTTTTCCTTTCTGTTAAATACCTGTCTAATTTTTTCTGAACCAACAACTATAATTTACTGTAGATACACACTACAATTTAAGGGCTCCCCTGCCTCTCCTCTTTTTTTTCTGGTGGGCTCTCAGAACCATACCATGAGTCCTTATTCTGCTTCTTTGACTTGACTCCAAGGAGGACCACCTCTTGTACTGTTAAGCAATATAAATCTTAAGACAATTTCAGCTCCTCTGTCAATAAAAGAATGTCACCATGGGTCAATATTTTGGAAATAGGAATCCCTTTATGCTATTACATGGAAGGGTCAGAAACGCATAAATTAATAAAGATGACTTCATCTTGAAATTCCCCCCACTCTACTGTACCCACTAATTATAAAACCAGAATATATCATTCAACTGACATTTTCTTATAAGAGATTTGGTGGAAAGAATGCCATATATTGTAATGTCTAAGAGTCAATATTATTACATTACTTAATCAATAGTGATTCCTATTATAAGACAGCAATGGTTTTACACTTGTGGGGAAGCCTGTTGTTCTCCCAGCCCTCTAAGAGCTTTTTATCTGTGTTTGCATACCCAGGGTGATTAAAACGCATAAATAATTTATTTCAGCTACGCATCAATATCCATGAACCTATACATATTTCATGTAAATGATAAGAAGTCTTTCAAGGAGCACCAGTAATATAGATATCACAGCACAAACCTATTACCATATATTCTGTTATACATATGGATCAGTCAGTACACGTAATGCATTATCTCATTGTACTGTATATGAAACATAAATATCAGAGCATACTTATAGGCAAGCCTAAAGTGCCGAATATTTGCATAATTCTGGTATATCTTAGATATACAAAATCCTTAAAGCTAAACTCCAGAAACAAAGACTTTTGTTTAAATATATTTTTCAATAGCAGCAAAGCATACACTCACTGACCACTTTATTAGGTACACCTTGCTAGTGCCAAAAAAATATCCCCCACACCATGACACCACCACCAGCCTGAACCATTTACACAAGAGATGGTATTCTGCATACCTTGGTTGTAACGAGTGGTTATTTGAGTAAATGTTGTCTTTCTATCATCTTGAATCAGTCTGCCCATTCTCCTCTGACCTCTATCAACAAGGCAATTTCATCCACACAACTGCCACTCACTGGATATTTTCTCTTTTTCCAACCATTCTCTGTAAACCCTAGAGATGGTTGTGCATGAAAATCCAGTAGATTAGCAGTTTTTGAAATACTCAGACCAGCCCGTCTGGCACCAACAATCATGCCACGTTCAGAGTAACTTGAATCCCCTTTCTTCTCCATTCTGATGCTCAGATTGAAGTTCAGCAAATCATCTTCATCACGTCTAGATGTCTAAATGCACTGAGTTGCTGCCATGTGATTAGCTGGTCAGCAATTTGTGTTACCAAGCAATTGAACAGGTGTACCTAGTAAAGTGGACACAGAGTGTATAAGTCCATTTTGTGTGCACCCCATGCCTTTGCAAACACAGATTACCTTGTAAAGGTAGCAGCAGGGGTGGACTGACCATTTGGAAGCTCGGGCACTGCCCGAGGGCCCAGGGTCAGTAGGGGGCCCCATGAGATGCCCCTGGTACCTTTTTCATAGGCTTTTTTGAGTTTGAGCAAGGACACAGGGGCCCCATGATCCCCTATTGCCCCGGGGCCCCATGAGTTGTCAGTCCGCCCCTGGGTAGCAATGACATCATCACTGTGCTGTACATAGCTTGAGCAGAAAGCAGAGCAGTGGAAAGTACCCAGCAGGTCCACCTATTATAGAAAACTAAAAGAAGGGGACAAGGAGACAAGACCAGTCACCCTGCACAAGAAAAGAGGTCGCAGAGAGCCTTTATTACAAGAAGCTCCTGAGCAAAGGCAAAGTCTCACAATGAATTTCTGATCTGGAAAAAATATACAAAGTAAATTCAAGGAAGAGTACACATGCCTCCAGGATTTAGACAATATGTCCTGGAGTTCGGCTTGAAATCTTAAATTGGGCCTAGCATAGGATATACAAATGCATCTAACACTTACAGGTATTTTTTACAGTTCTTGCCCTGATAATGTACTCCTTACTCTTCTGAAGTCCAACACCATATTTGTTTAGGTATCAGCCAGGTTTAGCATAAAGTTGCTGAGATGTAAATCCTTGGGCCTGTGCGATGTTATTTACATTTTTAGCTATGAGTACATAACTCAAGAGCAGCCGGAAAGCTACATTGTTACAACAGTCCTCCTGCAGTGGACTAAAGCTGGCCATACACTATGGGCCTCCTTCCAACTGACATCCCTTGACTGAAATATTGAAGGAACCTGGTGGAAGCCAGTTGCTAACATGCAATAGGCACAATAGGAGGTTTACTCATCCCATATACAGTATATCACTAGTTTTTCCAAGCAACTTCCATACATATAGCACTTGTTTTTCCTGGCATCTTCCATTTTGAAGTCTGTGTTTTGGGCTTCTATTCTTCTATTGTAATCCTATAATTCCTAAGAACACTCAAGGCCTGAAAATCCTGCCATTTCTTACAATAATAATAATTTCTATGAAAATATTCGAGATGGATTAAGATTTCGAAGGCTGCTAAGCATCAGTCAGTCATATTTAAATATTATAGTAATGTTAAAAATTCCTGTACAGATTCTGTACTTGGTTCCGCCCAGCAATACAGAATCAGCTGCTGTTGCCAACTGCCAATAAATAACGATTACTCTTCCAGCAGGCTTGGCAACTTTATGTTGGGATGAAAGCAAATATTGGCTGATGTGCTTTAAATACTAAGACAGCATTCTGTATTTATTCCAGATTTAGCTTGGCTCTGTAATTTTTCTGGGTGTTTCTTGGCTGAATGGGCCAAGCTGGTTAAAATAAAATATAAAAACAAAACAATAAAAAATCATCAAATAGCTGCAATTTACTTTAAAATAATTGTAATCCAAGACATTTTAAAATACAATATGAAGAACTAAAAAAAATCCATGCACTAGTTTTCCAATCTACAATTCACATAGATAGCATTTGTTTAATAAAATTATATATGACTTAGTCTTGCCGTAGTTCACAGTCCTCAGCATGAAATAAGTGAACTGAGAAAGTATCCCTGTCATTGCCAGTAGAGTAAATTAAATCTCAATGGCGCAGAGAGAACTTTTATATTTTTTTTTACTTACCAGTAAATACCTTTCCTCCTAAGGCACGCACTATATACACTGCTCAAAAAATTGAAAGGAACACTTTGAAAACACATCAGACCTCAATGGGGAAAAATATTATGCTAGATATCCATACTGATATGGACTGGGTAATGTGTTAGGAACATAAGAATACTCCATCGTTTGATAGAAATAAAAAAATTATCAACCTACAGAGGACTGAATTCAAAAAACCCCAAAAATCAAAGTGTAAAAAATGATAAAGCAGGCAAGTCAATTTTGCTGAAATTTCATTGCAGCAACTCAAAATAGTACTCAGTAGTTTGTATGGCCCCCACATGCTTGTATACATGCCGGACAACATCCGGGCTTGCTCCTAATAAGACAAAGGATGATGTCCTGGGGTATTTCCTCCCAGATCTGGACCAGGGAATTACTGAGCTCCTGGACAGTCTGAGGTGCAACCTGGTGGCATCGGATGGACCAAAACATGATATTGCAGAGGTGTTCTCTTGGATTTAGGTCAGGTGAGCATGAGGGCCATTCAATGGTATCAATTCCTTCATGCTCCAGGAACTGCCTGCATACTCTCGCCACATGAAGCCTGGGCATTGTCGTGCACCAGGAGGAACCCAGGACCCACTGCACCAGCGTAGGGTTTGACAATGAATCCAAGGACTTCATCCCGATAACTAAAGGCAGTCAGGGTGCCATTGTCTATCCTGTAGAGGTCTGTGCGTCCCTCCATGAATATGCCTCCACAGACCATCACTGACCCACCACCAAAATGGTCATGCCGAATGATGTTACAGGCAGCAGAACGTTCTCCATGGCTTCTCCAGACCCTTTCATGTCTGTCACATGTACTCCGGGTGAACCTGCTCTCATCTGTAAAAAGCACAGGGTGCCAGTGGTGGACCTGCCAATTCTGGTGTTCAATGGCAAATGCCAATCGAGCTCTATGGTGCCAGACAGTGAGCACAGGGCCCACTAGAGGATGTTGGACTCTCAGGCCACCCTCATGAAGTCTGTTTCTGATTGTGTGGTCAGAGACATCCTCACCAGTGGCCTACTGGAGGTAATTTTGAAGGGCTCTGGCAGTGCTCATCCTGTTCCTCCTTGCACAAAGGAGCAGATACCGATCCTGCTGATGGGTTAAGGACCTTCTACGGCCCTCTCCATCTCTACTAGAGTAATTGCCTGTCTCCTGGAATCTACTTCATTCTCTTGAGACTGTGTTTGGAGACACAGCAAACCTGGCAATGGCACGCATTGATGTGCCATCCTGGAGGAGTTGGACTACATGTGCAACCTCTGTAGGGTCCAGGTATCTCCTCATGCTACCAGTAGCGACACTGACCCTAGCCAAATGCAAAACTCATGAAAAACAGTCAGAAGAGATGAGTAGGGAACAAAATGTCAGTGGCCTCCACCTGTAAAACCATTCCTGTTTTGGGGGTCATCTCATTGTTGCCTATCTAGTGCACCTGTTGTTAATTTCATTAACATCAAAGCAGCTGAAACTGATTAACAACAACCTTTGCTACTAAACTGACCAGGTCAGTGTCCCAGGAGTTTCATTAACTTGATGCTATACTCTGATTAAAAAGCGTTCCTTTAATTTTTTGGAGCAGTATATATATATATATATATATATATATATATATATATATATATATAGGAATAGAAAACAGAGAGATTGTTCCCTTTGTACAGAGCCCTGTGTTGATTGTCAACACAGGGCTCTGTGCTGTAATTGGGACACAGCATGAATCATTGGCCAAGACTTGCTGACAGACTCCCGCTGTGTACAATCACAGCAGGTACCATGGAGGGGGGCACACATGCACATGCCCTAAACCCAGAAGCAGTATGTCACTTTACCTATACAGGCTGCCAGTCCACAAGTAAATATATATATTCATAGCTATAGGGGTTGATTTATACATTCATTAAAGGCAAACAGACTGTTCACTTTGTCCTTAGCTTAGTGAATGAGGTGCTACTCTCATCATTCAGTCATGCGCAAGCAAAAATATTTTTTTTCCCATGCATGTGATGGGGTGTTCTTTTCAAAGTGAATTTTTACCACATTCAATAAACCAAGGGAAAAATCTCTTGCAAAATGAAAATCCCTTGCAATGTGAACAGAATCTTTTTGCCTTTAGTAAATCAACCCTATAAGTTTTCCCAGAAAGACTAGCTCCTTCTTGGTTCACACTGGGCTGGCCTAGCAGCTCTACTCTTCTTGTGGTCTAGCAAGTTGGGGTATGAAAGAAGGACCATGCACACTGGCAATTAAGGTGGGCTGCCTGTATTGTAACCTATATTGCTGTCTGTTGCTTTTTGTGCCGGGTACAGCTCATTGCTCCTCTGAGATTCCACAGCTATTTAACCCAGCAGCAGATTCCCACAGCAGGAAGAGAAACATCCCTGAGCATCATTCAGCTCACATATGAAAAGTCCTAAGACCAACTAAAAACCAACAATGAGTTCTGGTGAGCAGATACGATATGGACCAAGGAATGGAGGTTTTATCCCACCTAAAGCTCAATAAAACCTTCAGGCTCCTGGACCCAGAAGTGGAAATATTAGGATCTGAGGAAACAAAAGTTTGTTTTCTAGAATATGGACCAACATCCTAGAGCCCCTCACCATGTGTAGATGAGGAACCTAGGCATCACTTACACACTATCCACCTTGTGCCTTGTGTATGTATGTATGCATGTATATATAATTACAGCACAATGTTTTCCTTGTCTTATGTGGTCATAAACTAGAACTGTGGCAATACATTAACATACTACATTTTGTCAGAGATAAGTAAAATGAAGCATCCATAAATGTCTTCCCTGTACTTTATTAGTTATTTTACATGAAATATTAGCTATAAAACAAGGCAGTAAGATGACAAGAAGATGTGTGTGAGGAAGTATCCTATTTTCTCATGGCAGAGTCTAGTGATAACAGGTAAGTGGGTGGCTGATACATTATACTATTTGTCTGCTAAATTCCTTCAACAGAATGAGAGTTATTTATACACTCAATTCAACTGGAATTTCTGAAAACAAAACAATCAATATGGTATATATATATATATATATAATATATATATATATATATATATATCAGAATATTTCTTTAAAAAATTAAGTTTGATTTTTGCCTTCTCTGGTTCCTGCTTTTCCCCTTCGTCAAATGACATTGTTAAATGAAACCTTTTCATTTTCATTACACTTCTTATTTTAAACAGTGATATCTGCTGGGGAAGTCAAGGATTGGGTAAGCAAAATGGTGTTTGCGGGTGGAGCGGATGATTGGTTAAGTAAAATGCCATCTGGTGAGGGAGCAGAGGATTGGGTAAGTAAAATGCCCACCTTCCTGGGGAGCATAGGATTGGGTAAATAAAATGTTGTCTACTGGGGGTTTGAAAAATTGGTTAAGTAAAATGTCATCTTCCGAGGGAGTGGAGCATTGGGTAAATAAAATGTTGTCTGCTGGGGGTTCGAAGAATTTGG